AGAGCTCTGGTATTGAGCACTGGGACAGACCTTTAATATGATAAGAACAAACAAAACAATGAAATCTTATGAAAAATTTAGATTGTGAGAACTTGACTTTGATAAATTAGAAAGTCAGAAAACACTAGTTCCCTCTGGTTCGCGTATCCTACTTATCCTACATCAGCCAATAATTCTAATGGCTGTAAATGGCTCTGTAAATGCCTGCTGTTATGACCTCAAGCATGAGCACAATTTTAGAGAAAGCTAAGCTAGACAAGATGTTTAGAGATAGAAGTAACAATCAAGTGACCGTCTAGGAAGAGTAAAAATGGATGTTAGTAAGAAAACCCTAGATATAAATACGGAATTCAGAGTACTTTAGACTTTGAGCATCCACCAAGGGCCTGGCATAGAAAAGTGCCCCTAGAAAGTTCATGATACAGTTCCTGTACTCATGGAAGTTGTTGGCAAAGATTCTGAGGGGCAAATCTGGCTGGGCTTGGCAATTTGGAGAGGGTTTCAATGAGGTAAAAAGAGCTGTTCAGAACAAAGATGGCAACGGCCTGATGGAAAGGAAAGGCTTTGTTAAAACCAGCCAGTGCACACCAGGAGCTGGACATGAAATCTTAGCATTAGACAAACAAATAACCATTTTTGTTCTTTAAAAAAGTCAATGATATGTTTTACGGATCCCTCTTTAAGTCTTCTATCTAGCTAATAAAAAACTACCTAAGGAATTTGTGAAATACAGTTATCAGACTTTTTAAAAAAGGAAACCTGTAGTATTTCCAAACTGGGAAATGACAAGAGAATTGGCTTTAGATATATAAAATGACAGAATAGTAAAATCCTCAAAGAATGTAGGCACAAGTGTGAGGGGGGATTAATACACACCGAGCATGCATGTGTATGTACTTGTGTGATGCACACACATATTCAGGGCACATTTATTTATATATCTAGCGGACCTGTGTATCTGAATTCTGCTATATAGATTCAACTGACCACTGATGGAAAATATTTTGGGGCAAAATTGTTCTGTACTGAACATGTACAGACTTTTTTGGTCAGCAGTCCATAAACAATATAGTATAATAACTGTTATGAAGCATTTACATTGCGTTAGCTCCTGTGAGTGATTTAGAGGTGATTTAATGTGTTTGCAGGTGCAGTGCTGCAAGTTATATTCCCAGTACTTGGGAGGCTGAAGCAGAATTGTTTGAGCCCAGGAATTTGAGGCTAACCTAAGTTACATAGTGAGACCCCCTTTTTTTTTTATAAAAAATTAATTACAAAATAATAAAATACACAGGTAACAGGGTAGGTTACAGTGGACCCTTGATCTGTGAACTCAGTTCATTCCCAAGATGGGCTGTAACTCAGGTTGTCGATTGAAGGCTCGGGTTCCTCTACCCAGCCTTCATAGTCTCTCCTGTATACAGGCAGATCTCAGGGCCTTAAGAAGACATTGGTCCAGGATTTTCAACCCCAGACAGGAAAGGATGTTGTAATGTTGCAGCCAGAATTCAGTTCATAACTCAAGACTTTGGTCGTAAGTTAAAACTAAAATTCCAGTCATAACCCAAGTTGTTTGTATGTCAGGCCAGTCATAACTGAAGGGTCCACTGTATATACAAATACTGCACCATTTTATGTAAGGGACTTAGTAGATTTTGGCATCCATAGGGTGTTCTTAGAACCAGTACCCCATATATACCGAGAAGTGATTATATTTCTTAATGCAATAAACTGATATATTTATGTATATTATTCATCTGGTACAATCTTTGAGTAAGGTGTGTTACCCTCGGTATAAAAGTATAGAAGGAACAAAGGTTACATGAAGTGCTCAGTGTTGCAACCAAAAAAAGCAAAAAGTCAACATTAGATTGTATATAAACAGCCATTTCCTAACTGTTCTGTGCAATTAAGAGTTTGTAAAAGGAGACTTAAAAGTATTAGATCATTGCTTCTACCCAGGATCAGAAGCACTGTACCTGACTCCTGCCTGGATCCTGGGTCATCCCTCTCTTCCAGGCTCAGAAGGGAGGAGCCCTTCTGGGCTCAGTAGCCTGGTTATTTTGGCTAATGCCTCCCTGAGGTTGTCACGCATGGGTCCATGCATTGAATATTGTGGCAGGCATCCATCTCATAACCTAATCACTGTAAAGTCAGCCCATCACTTTTTTTATCTTCTCACTAAAACCAAGGAGGGCCCTGCACAGGGGGCTGAACCCTGAGGGTGGATCCCTGGGAGCCGGCCCTAAAACTCACCACTGAGAAGCCAGACTTGGGACCAAGCTAGTTGGGGCCTCCGTGGCTTTGCTTTCATGGCTTTCCTTTTCGGCTCCCTGTTGAGCTGCTCCCCGAAGTTTTCAGCACCTCTCAGGGGTGGAGCTGCCCTCTCCCCACACTTGCCAGTGTAATTCAGCGGAAGTCATTCCCTTACTGGGCTTGCTGGCTCTTTCCTGGGCTGGCTGAGAGCAGGCTGCTGTATTCAGTGTGAGACGTTACTGTGTGACCCATAGGGCAGAACCAGATTGAAAGGTGGGTGCGGCTGTTTCAGGGGGCATTAACCAAGTGAGAAGCAAGGAACATTCTCCCAACAGTGCTGTACTCAACTGGTTGTCAAAAACCATCCCCCGTGAATGTTTTTGTTTATAAAAAGCTTTCTCCAGTTTCTCTCGAACCTAAGTTCATGATTTTTAGGCCATTTATCCTGAAGTAAAAGATGGGAAGAAAGCCAACCTGAAATATACCTGAATTTTTCACAAGCTTTTTACTTTGCTTAAGTAAATTGTTCCCCAGGCTGAAACACTCCAGTAATTTCTCTGGAAGTAGAGTCTGAACAGTTGAAGTGGTAGATATTTTCCTTGTTTGTGCTTCCTGCTCTCCCTGAGGCTCGGAGCATTGCTTGCTTACTCTGCAGACTGAGTATAAAATTGTTTAATATCCAGCAAGAGTGGAAATACTAAAATGACCGATTCTTCCTGCTGGGAAAGACTGTTACAGATTTAAATCTGCCTGATTTTCACAGGACATCATCATAGATGAGCAGAGAAAAGGGGCAGTCAGCTGGCAAGGGCCACCAAGAGAAGAGGTGGCAGAAGGCAGAGCTTCGCCTTGCTTTGGGCAGTGGCGAGTGTCCCTTATGACCCTTCCTGCTGCCCAGCCACACTGACAGTAGTCTTCCAGCTGTGACGTAAGGTCAAGCAATCCTGCTTCTGCCCTACCAAAAGCATAAAGGCTTTATTTTCTGTAAAGGGCAGCTCAAAGAGACCAGGACCCAGTGTCCCGATCCTGGGAAGCAGGAGTCACTAGGTTCCTCCTTGAGCACTGCTAGAGCAGTGCGCAGGCACTTGGGCTCGCACCTGTTGCAGCATCCTTCCCAGTGACATTCTGCTGCAATGTGCTGGACAGTACATGGGTCCCTGAGACTGCATGCCTGAAGCTTTGAGACAGGGTTGGTGACAAACTTTATTCAGCGTCTTTTCTTATGCTTTGTATTATTTATCCCGTGCAGAAAAACTCTAAAAGGGAAGGTAACATCCTCCCCTTTTTATATATGAGGAATCTGAGACTCATAGGTAAAGAGGCTCATGTGGATGTAAATCCTGTTTGGCCGTTGTATCACAGAACCCCTGAGAAAAACCTCTCCTTCCTCAAAGCAGCAAGGTACAGGGCTGGGAAAGGGAGGAGAACCAGCTGCCAGTAGCCTCCTCCTCCGAGCACTTCCAGATCACACCCAGCACTCAGACACCAGCTGGCAGCTTCCCCAAGAGCACACAAAAGGCCCGGCCTAGATAGTGTCACACGAACTGAGAAAACAGGATGAACGGTGTAGGTCATTAGCAGAAGTTAGTGTGGCCCTCCTAAACTGAAGGAGGACAGAGGAAGCAAGTAGATGGGTGCCAGGCATGAGGGAGCCTGGCTTTGCGAGAACTCAATGTGTACAGCTCAGGAAGAAGCAGGACCAGGAAGGAGGACCCCATGAACAAGTCAGATGGGTAAGAGCCATGGGTTTCATCCTGAATGTATTGTGAGCCCCTGAAGTGCAGAGGATGGAAGGGAATGCTCTGCTGCTGTTTGGTGTATTTCAGGAGAGAGGAGCAGCTAATGTGCCCTACCAAATGGGCAATCTTAGGGAGGTCCCACTTCCAGATTCTTCCCTCTACTTTTAGAGCAAATAGTAAAATATTTTTCCATGACACTTTGTTTGTTTAAAGGAAATTTCCGTTGCTGCCTGAAAGATTACAAATCATGTCTCTTACGCCAAGCCCCATCTGTATTAAACTCAGTCCTTCTCTCCAGTCCATTCCCTGTGAACAGGGAAGAGAATATGAAACATTAAATAAAAATGCTCAGGCGGAGGTGTAACTCAGAGGTAAAGCATTTGTCTAGTATGTGTGAGGCCCTTTCTTGATTCCTAGCACCAAAAATAAATAAAGTTCAGATAGAAATGCTCTAGAATAACTTAAGGAAATAGCTCTATTAATAGTGAAAAGTCATTAAAGAAATGAAAATGCTGCATCAGGAACTACTGTACAAAAGAAAGTGGTAAAGGAAGAATAGAAGAACAAAAGACAGAAAACAAACATTAAGTTGGCAGACTTTATCCAACTCTATAATAACAAAATTAAATGTAAATGGACTAAATAGTCCAATCAGATGGCAGTGATTATCAGACTGGATTTTAAAACAAAAAATTCTGGCTATGTACTGGATAAACAAAATAAAGAATAAAAATACTCCAGAAAAATCATTAAATCAAGATAGTATAAAAAACGAACACAATCAACAATCTTTACTATGATCAACCAGGGGGGAAAACTCAAATAACTAGAATCAAATGAAAGTACCATCCTTACAGAAATAAAAATAATTATTTAAAATCGTGTAAACAATCACATGCTGAAAAACTTGACCAACGTAGATAAAGTGGACACATTACTAGGGAGGGAGGCTCTGCCCTGTGAGGAAATGTTCACCTAGGCATTGACACTGTGCTGTGTTTACAGGCTGCTGCCTTCTCCTCTCAAGGACGCAGTGGAAGTGTCAACCTGGAGACGATGCTATACCATGCAGGAGGTGAACTCCGCCCTTAGTAAAATCCAACTGGTGGGATATTCTCAGAAAATCGTGAGTGTTAATGTATCTTTATACATCATTCATGAATGCTTTCAGCTATCGTTTGAGAATGCTATAGTTCCCTTCTGTAAGCCATTCTGTCTCTGAGAATCTTGTGCAAAGGAAAAAGCATCTGTCATTTTCCTCCAACCCTCCCAGGTTTCTGTTGGTGCCCATGCCTAGCCTCACAGTCCTGTCATCAGCAGGCATTCAGTGGGCCAGCAGGTGAGGAGTCGGGAGAAGGGCATCTGTGTCATCCTGTTGCGGGAGCACAGCAGGCTGTAGTTTACTGTGCTGGGATGAGAGAAGTAGGAAACAGGCATTTTGGCAAGAATAACTTGAGCTATGACCTAAATGATCAGAGTTCCTAAATGGCCCGGAGCCATGCAGTATAGAATACTTAGCCTAAAATAGAGAAGAAATAACCAAAATATTTGAGTCCTCGTTCTGTTTAGTAATGTTACCTCTGCCTTGTAGTGAGTATTGAGTGCCTGGTGACTACAGATGAGATAAAACTTTCAGATGACAGGTAAAGACCATGGGATTGTTTCCTGTGTCCATCACATGGTCTCCATAGTCTTTGTGTTTCATTCCAGAGCTCCTGGTTTACTTTAAAGTAATTGCTTCTGAACTAAGAAGAATATTCCTGTTGCTTTTCCAAGAAAACTTCCCTGCTCTGAATACATTGTGAATGCTCATATGTTATTCTTGCGGTTCTTTTTAGGAGCTTTTTGGTGCGGTCCAGGTGACTCCCCTGAGCTCTGGCTATGCCCTTGGAAGCTCCAACTGGATTATTCAGTCCCATTATGAGAAGGTTTCTTACGTCTCTGGATCTTCCTTGCTTACTACACACCCCCAGGTAAAGATAAATTGTCTTTTACCAACTCAGTTTTATGGTTATTTAATCCAGGCAGAATATATGTGGTGTACTACTGGCCATTTTTAAATCTTCTAATATTGGTTTCTTCAGATAATGTAGGAAACTTAAACTGTTAAGTCCCAAGACTGCATTCTCCTCTGAAAGAATTTTGCAACTTTTAGGGTCATTGCCAAGATTCCAACTTCCTCCAGTCCCTCTAAAGACTGAACGCTAGAGGTTTTTCATTTACTCAGCACAGCCTAACCATTGAACTCTTAGCAAGGGTCAAGGGCCAAGCATTTATCTAAGTAGAGGGACTTAAGTGGAACCAGGACCCAGGCAAAGTCTGTTCGTGAATCCTTTGTTCAGGTGATATATGGGGAGAAAACAGTGAGCAGGGCGTAAATCAATAAATTAATGAGCAGGATAATTTCAGATGGTGGTAGAAGTTCGGAAAACAGAGCAGGGGTTTTTCTAAAGTGACCAAAATTAGCTGAGTGCATGGTCAGGAAAACCCTATAGCTGTCATCTCAACTGAGCCCAGAGGCATGAGCCATAAGGCCCCAATGACACAGCACTAGCAAAGGTGGAGAAGAGCTGAGCAAAGACCATCATGATCCCAGGGAACTGGGGAGGAGGAGCCCAGGAGAACAGCAGTGGCCAGAGCGGGTGGGGCTTTGTGGACCACAAGGAGGAGTTCAGGCTGTTTTAATATGTGGAAGAAAACCAGCAGTAGTCATTCCTCAGAGCCATACTTGGCAAGAAGCTAAGTGCCTGAATGTTACTGTGGATATAATATTTAATCCTTTTGGGGTATTGCTAAAATACTGTATTGCTATTATTTATTTCATAAATCTTCATTGTTTCCATGTTCATAATGCAGTGGGGAAGTTTAGATAGCTAATTGATGGGGAGATAGATACATAGATAGCTTGTGGAAGTCCACATCCTATTTTATGTGTAAAATCTATTGATTTGTGAACATGGCCTCAAGACCTTATTGTCTTCATAGTGAAGCAGAAGGAAAAGCTTAAAACTGGATCCCATAGTCCTTCCTTCAAAACACTTGCCCCTCTCCAGAGGGGCAGGTCCTTTCTCGGACCTGCACCTGGACTCACAAGCCATGCAGCCTCAGCACCATCTTCTGTGCAGTGTTAGCCTTTTTCCAGAAGAGACGTGGTCTGTCCAGGCAGCCACTCTCCTTCCTGTTAGAGATCTGCTTTTCCTGGTTACACAGGAAAGACCCCTCTCTCCGGACTTACAGTATTTCTCTACAGGCTGGTGCTTGGCGCCCTTCTTATTATAGTAAGCCTATGCGGTCTCTGCGAGGTTTTAGAAACATTCACTGTGTTGAAGGGAATGTCCCTATCAGAAAAAGAAGACTTTAACTGACAGAAAGGGTCTACTATATTTATGACAGACAACATGGTATTTTGGTCTAGGAATATATTGTGGAAGGGCAAAATCAAGCTAATTATCACATGCCACGCTAATATGGGAATAGAATGCTATGTTCTGGTGTGGACTGCAGAATGCCTCTCAGCTGCCGTTTGGTATTCTGTTTTTTATACCTTCTTTTATAACCAAATTTACCTCAAGGTCTAGAGGAGGCACATTGCTGGTTTTTCCTGTAGCTAGCAAACCTGAGCCTTTTTGCTTATCGAAATCAAAAGCCCGTCAATGTCATCATTAAAGCCTGTCTCACTGAATCAGAATTTTTTATTGGCAGCTTTTCTCATCTGCGATACATTCTTCTATAAAGACAGAAAGACAACTTGGCTGCCAGCTCTTCCAATTTGTCCTGCTTGTTTGAAAGCATTTATGGAACTATTGATGTGATTTCCAGTAAATTAGTCTCACAAGGTTCATAGATTCAAAGGGAAAATAAAGTCTTCAAAGTAATGAGCAACATACCTATATAATCAATTTTAATTTCTAGCTGGCAACCTGTGTAATATGTAAAAAAGAGAACACTAGATTTTTCTTTACCTGTATTATTGGATTCTGTATTCAATTTGCAGAGGTAAGAAAAGTTTTGGCTTCGAAAATTTGTCTACTATAGAGGCTGGCAAACTGCAGCCTGAGGACTCTACCTTGCTCTCACCTTTTCTTATAAATAACCTTTTGTTGGACTGCAGCCACACCCATTTGTTTGTGTATTTTCGATGGTTCCATGCCTGTTATAATGGCAGAGCTTTACTTTAAAGTTACGCTTTACAGAAAAAGTTGCTAACTCCTGGTCGACTTGATTAGAACTCTTAATAGCAAGGAATAGCATGATCTATTGTGATCTTTGACTAAGCCTGGATATTTTTCTATCATTTAACTCAAATATTTGCTATGCAGTGCTTTGTCATTCATCTCTAAATAGATTAAAATGTTCATTATTAAATGATCAAAAATTATTTTACAGTATTTTTTAAAAATTTATGATCCAGTCATCCAATTTGGTTAGACTTAGGAATAGATAGAATTTTTCATTTTATGTATTTACACATAATAATGAGATTCATTGTGATACCTCTATACACATACTGTGTGCACTGATCATATCCAACTATTCTTCCCAATCCCTAGTAGTCACTCTTTTACTTGAAGGGGAACTTTTAATTTTGGAGTTCCATAAATGAGGAAGAATGTGTGATATTTGTCTTTCTGTTACATGGCTTATTTCATTTACCATAATGTCTTCCCATCCTATATGTTTTGCTCCAGATAGCTGGATTCCATTTTCTTTGGGGCTGGAAAGTATTCCATTGTGCATGTGCACTCCACATTTTCTCCATCCAGTCATTCCTTGGTCATAGGCTGATTTCACCTCTGGCTGTTGCAAATGGAACCACAGTGAAGTGGGCATACAAGTGTCTCTTTTGTATGCTGATTTCATTCCCTTTGGATAACAGGATTTGGATTCCCTGTTCTTAAATCTCTCGTTTGGTCAGTAGAGCAAGCTGTCCTGTAAAGCTTGAAACAGGTGGTTAGGTCCATTTACAGAAATTACAATAAGGGAAGGGTGTATGCCTACCAAATGTTTCTCCAGGGTACAAGTGAATGGTTCTTTAGGGTTAGCTAGAAAAACACCAAATTCAGGCAGGTACATCCTTTGTGGCTAGGGAATTGAGGGACCCCATTGAGGAGTGGGATCTCAGTTGATCTTGAAGCCGGGCTTGGTGGCACTTACCTGTAATCCTAGCACTTAGGAAGCTGAGGCAGGAGGATTAGCATGAGTTCAGCCTGGGCTGTATAGAGAGTTTAAGGCCAGCCTGAATTACAGAGTGAGACTCTGTCTCAAAACACACACACACACACAAAAACGATTTTTTAATTAATTGATCTCGAAAACTTAGAGTATAATGTTATGCTTCATGATCCCAAATGTATTTCTTTCTTTCTCTTATGAAAGAATTGAAAGGATTATATAGGTCATTGAGCCTTTTAACATTTTCACTGATACCCTCTTTCTGTTAAATAAATCTTGTGTCTTAAATGTGGGAAAAGGCCTTAAGACAACTGCCTCATTGCCAGACTGCTGTTTTTTCTGTCTCCTAATGGCAATGTGTGTGCGTTGTTTCTCCCATGCGCCTTGCTCAGCTTGTCTGGGATACCCTGCTTGGTTCCTGTCTTGCCTCATTGGTCCGGTTTTACTCTCAGTGAAATCACCATCTCTGCTTCTAAGTGACTGGCTTTGGCCAGACTTTCACTTTTTCTCTTTCTCCCAGTGTCTCTCAGCTGCATGAGTCAATCTGACCAGTTTCCTGTGGTGATCTTTTTTTTTTTTTTTTTTTTTTTTTTTAATTTTTATTTAAGGAGAAAAGAAAAGAAAGAAAAAAAAAAACAGTGAAGGGGTACAAGTTATACAGGTTTACAGAATAAAAAAATGCGCAGTAGGAAATCACTAGTTAATGGATTACATATTGCCATCTTAGAAATAATTGTTCAAGTCACAAAATTAAAGCTTGTAGAGTGGACATTCCAACAATGATACTGCAGACAGTTCTGTTCAATGATCCAATAAAACTCTGTGATATCATTTTCTATCTTATACATTTAAATATACATGCAGTTATATAGTTTAGAGCACTTTCTTTTCCTCTCTTTTGTACAGTGACTATTACACATTTTGGGTTTCATTGCTCCCACGGTTCTTGTTGCTTTTTTGGAAGAGAGTAAAACCAAATGTGACATAACAGAACAGAATCGGTCAAGTCAAAAGGGTGGACATAATAGATAATATAAAAACATAATACAAGGTGATCAACAATGGTTACCATAATGCCTCCCGCTATTTCTAATAGAATTGCCTATATCATTAGTTGTAATACAATTGAACAAAACCGTAAAGAATAAAACCGACAAAACCAAAACATTGGAGATATTGTAGGTCTTCAAAAGTAGATAAAAGTCAACGAGAATGGGCGTTATAATGAATCTCATTATCTTCTCAGCTGATGCCTAAACTTTCGAACCTGATACTATCCAGCAAAACAGAATAGAGGAACCTCAGTCAAAAACAAGATGGTGAGAGTAACACAGGGCTTCAAATCGAGATAATAGAAAGTCAAAGTGGGTTACTATATTATATCCTGCTATATTTTTCCCTTTAATTAAATGGATAAAAATAAAAAAGTAAATAATGGAGTGGAGATTGAGAAAAAAGAGGGCATAACAGCGAAACAGGGCAGATCAAAACATAACCATTTAAGCAGAATAGTGTTTCACCACCAGATAATCCTGACCCAAAAATAGTTACCATATTGACTCCCTCCCTGAAGTCCTTGAGTACAACTTCATATACTGTAGCATTAAGTATATCAAAACAATGTAAATCCATTTAAGAGAATGACAGCATTATAGAGTATTTAGAATCGACTAACAGAAAATGAACAATGGTCTCTGTATAATCTCCTTGTCTTTAAAAGGTTTTTTCTTATACTATCGTACTTAACAAAATCCAATAAGATACAACCTGTTTAGACCATTGGAGACAGAAGAACAAAAGC